GTTCCTCCCAGGGTGCGATGGTGGGCTCCCTAAGCACTGAGGGCGTGACACTATCGCGACCCAAAAGTGCGCGGCAATGGCGCTAAGGCCTTGCCCGCCGCGCTGCCCGCGCTGCCAGCGTAATCCACCACGGCATACGTGGTCTCTGCGTCCTCTCGCGTACGACGTACTATCTCGCGTTCTCCCTCTCCTCGCAGCGCTGTGTCTCTCCGTCGTACTACGGCCGGCCTCCTAAGGGAAATTTAGTGTTTTCTATGGTGCTTTTGCTTTTTCTCTCACTAATGTTCCTCATTGCACCCCTTGCCTAATGTTTGAACAAAATAACGCATCAATTCAATCCCGACTCGTGCCTTTAAAGTGCTCAATCTTCAGATGGGCTGGCCAATATTACAAACAACTCAGGAGGTCTAGCTATGGGCCAACGGCTAGCCCCAGTGCTAGCCATAGCATTCATGTCAAAAGTAGAAAGGCCTGATCACATCAGGTTCACAAGAGAAAAACCGACAGAGGGCTGGTTGCCATTTCTCAACATCCAGATTCAGTTGTCCAGAGGAACAATGAGAACAAAGTGGTATCGAAAGCCTAGTAATAAGAATATTCTTATTCACTACCGTTCAGCCCATCCAGTAAGAATGAAACACGCGTGACAACATGTTCAATGTTGCCAGCAAAGTCTCGTCAGATGTTGAGCTCAAGAGAGAATCGCTCAATATGGCCCAAAACATCGCGCGGTCAAACGGGTACCCATGTACGGGTCACAGCGTACGGGGCATCTCACACCCAGAGCAAATCCAGAAGACAGGCTATACGACAGCTTCTGCAACGCCACTTAGTGCATTGTGTGCCCTTCGAACAAGGAAGGTGACTGCATGAAGGCTGGAACTATCTACCTCATCCGCTGCCAGGCATGCGGTAGCGAATATGTGGGGGAGACAGGCCGCCCCTTCGCTTACGGGTTAAGGAGCACATGGACGGGCTTAGGAAATCGCGAACCCAAACCCCGCTGGGAATGCATCGCGTTCAGTGCCATGGAGATGTCGAATTTGCAATATCAGTCTCCATTTTGGCAGTAGACAGAAACAACAGCGCGCAAGAAAGCTTTTGGATTGCCGCCAAGGACCCCAAAATCAATAGAAAAGAGGAATGTGTGGCCATAACCCGTGACCTCGCGCCATTTCTCGGCCTCTGTAATTTTGACCTACAGTGAGGTCGTGGAGGTGGAGGTAGTAATGCTCAGTGTACTCAAATTCAAGTCTAGTGGTGGTCTCTCTCGCTCCTTGGCGACAGACATCAAGGTAAGCTGGTAACACTCTTCGCATTGACCGATACCGACTGAGGTTTTCCGGTCTATTGGAGTTGTCTTCAGGATTGTTAGAAGCTTCGAGGGGTCGATCTCAATGTTCTCGACTTTTTCAGGCTCTGAAGAAGGCGAAGAAAGCCGAAACGTCAGCCTTGTTAAGTACTACAATCTTGGAGAGGCTTCAATAAACAATAAAGGAATCTTCAATGCCAAGATTAAAGAAAGTCGATCGTACACTATTCTTCGTTATAATGCGGCATTAATTTTGATCAGAAAGCGAAGATCTAGAGCGTCTAGAGCTCTTTTCAATTCAATTTCTTCGTACTACCAGTCTGAATCTCGCACAGTTTGGTAACTTCTCGTAGTTTTGGAGATGATTTTCGTTTTTGTCGGTTTCTTGGGGCGGGGTTCCCTTTTCTCATCGCTTAAAAAGAACAATTGGTAACGGTCAAACAGTTTCGCCAAGCTAGAACAAAATTCAAGGGACAAACTCGGGGCGGTCGGAAAGTTAGCAATAGGCACAGCGACCTTTATTTAAAAATGAGAGCGTAGAAAAGAAATGTGGGTGTTTGTGTGCGACTCCTTGCTTACTGACTATT